AAATCTTCCTCAACTATTATTAACTTATATTACAATACCTTCTAGAGCAATATAACATTTTACGTGAACATCACACACATATTGTTAAGGCATAATACATAAATATGACCCTTAATTTGGCGTCAGTTTGCAACTATGACCCTTAACTTTGGATGTGCACAAGTAGGCACTTAAACTTGTATAAAATTGAACAAGTAGACACACGTGTCCTACATGGCATGATACACGTAAGACGCCACGTAGGACACAAAATTTCCATGTAGGGTGCCATGTAGGACGAATGTGTCAATTTGTTCAATTTTATACGAGTTTAAGTGTCTACTTGTGCACATCTAAAGTTAAGGGTCATAGTTATCAACTGACGCCAAATTAAGGTTCATGTTTATGTATTATGCCTATTATTAATGATCATTCAAAGCTACACCTGGATTATTTTTAAGCATCACCAACATGTCATCCCTAGTCATCAATACAAAAAATGTATATATTAGATAAGTATATAATAATTACTGAATTGTTGAAGATAAAGCAACTTGCGTTATATGCTCTTTCTGTACTCTTTATCGTTCTACATAATAATTTAATTAGTACGTTTTGTCTTTAAATATAGACGGACCATTAATCAGTGCTTGCCTTTTAATAATATAAAATATAAAATATAGTACTTATAAAAAATAAAAAATAAAGGGGGGGGGGGGGGGGGGGGGGTTAATTTATAGTTGGAAGTGCAATTGAATAATATTATAAGTTAATAACAAGAAAGGATGACAAAACCAAACTTTTATTCTACTTCCTAAATATTGACGTGCATGCTATCGTCCTCCCTATAGAGGCGGAAATTTTAATAAGGAGTTTTAATATATTTTAATTTATGATTTCAAATAATTTCTGAATTAATTTTACTATTATTAGGAGATTCAGAAGCTTATATATATAGGGGAGAAATTATTTTTATTTTATTTACGTAATATAGTTTATTATTTACGTGTTCATGTTATAACACATGTTGTTGTAATTGTTACCTTCTCGAATATTAAGTATTAACTCTAATTAGATTAAAAATTATCTCAATTGAGTATATGATAAAATGTTTTGGATAATTTGCTGATAAAATTGTCTCAATTGAATATATGATTGGGATAATTTGCTGATAGGCACATAAAATATAAGAAAAGGCTTAAAAATGAGTTCACCTATCAAAAAAGTTTTGTGAATATCTAGTTTAGATATAAAATTCACAAAGCAGTAATACTATAGTGGTGATATTAACCAATTCACCCAGGTTTTTTTTCACGTGTTCACACGTAAAATGTTATATTGCTCTAGAGGGTATTTTAATATAAGTTAATGATAATTCAGGAATAGTTCTGTGAACACCTAATAATTTAATATGAATTCGTGATAGTTTAGAAAAAATATGTGAACAATAATTTAATTTTCTTTTAACCTACTTATTCATAAAAGATTGTGATTTAAAACACGTTAAAAATAAGAAAAAGACAACGAGTAAACATATCTTTTAACACATACTAACATTATAATATACTATTAAATTAATATTTTAACATGTTGTTATAGGTAATCAGAGTATGCAATGAAATCAGAAATTATTTGAAGAAAAAAAGTTAAGAGGATATGAAGCTGAACTTGCCAGGGAAAGAATAGGCTTAGGGAATGCCCTTTGAAGAGATTCAATAACAATATTTGCTTGATGTGTTGAATTAAAATTCACATATACCACCCTTGCAGCCTCCACAAAGCCTTCATAGCCACTTTTCTTGTTTCTTAATCCTAAAATTAAGAGCATAAAATTAATATTATAAACAAATAAATAAGAGAAAGATTGAATTGGTACCTTTTAATTAGAGTTGATTTCTTGAATCGTCGCCCAACTAATTAATACAGAAAGTCGTCTTTTTTGGTTGAAAAAAAAAGTTGACTTTATGAAATAATAACTATAAGTTGAGTGACGGTTGAGAAATCAACTCATTTTAATTAAGTGTGATGAGAAAGAGAGATATTTAAATATTTATCTCTGGTTTAAATTTGACATGAAATTTTAAACAAAAATAAAAAAATTGAATCATGTGATTTTAAATTAAAGATATGTAGAAGGTACTAAAATATTTTTAAATCTTATTATGATTTTAAACATGTCATATGGAAAGTTATAAATAAAGAGTCGCAGAAAAAGAAAAGAAATATTATTTTTTGAAACAGACTAAAAAGGAGAGCAGGACAAACAAATTAAAACGGAGAATATATAATTACCTGTGGTAGCTTGTATACTTTGAGAGAGATGATTAATAGCAAGATGATCAAACCAATTATCTTTATAAACATGATAATTACTACTATCATTATTGTGAGGTGGTTTTGTTAACACACAACATGTTGATGGATATGCTAATTTATTGTACTTATAATATGTATTGATCTTTATATTTCTCATGGAAACTTTTGAAAAGCTTTGGTAAGATAGAACAAGATTTGCCTCCATATGTGAGAGAAAGAGAATAATTATATATGAAAGAGTATTAGTAGAAGAAATAATATATAGACTCCATACTAATTGTGGACAGATTTATTTATATTATAATTAATTATGAGGGGAGAAGTAATTAATTAAGTAGTGTACCATTGTAGAAAACAAACAAAAGAGAATGAAAGAGTATATTAGGCAAAGTCTAAATCTTGATACCTTAAGTGATCAATTAGAAATATTAAATTTATATAATAAGATGATTACATCATGAAACCAAGTTATTAATATATAATAAAGTTTATAAGTAACTTAATTAATTAAGATCGATGCATCCTATTTAAATTCTTTAACATACTTTTTCTTTGGAAGAAAAAAAAAAAGACAAAAGGAGAAGTCGGCAAGAAGATGCCCTTTGCAATTTTTACTTCTTCTATTCATCTTTTTTTTTTCTCCTTTTTCTTTGAGTGGAAGACATAATATTCATCATAATTAATATAATCCACATATTTTGTGTCAACCAGCAGTTGATCAACAAAATGAAAGGATTAATTTTTCCATTCGGAGAAAGGATGTAATCTGAATAACACATGTTCACATTGAATACGATGTAATTTGAGCATTATGTGTTTATATTGAATTATTATTATTTTCGAAATGTTCATATTGAATAGTTGTTACCATCGTATAAAGGCAATAACATCTTTTTACAGTTGAAATTTTTTAAAAAAGACATAATACCTTTCATTTAATCTAAGCTTTTCCAACTTCTACATTAAGGTAATGTGTGTGTTTGGTATGAAGGAAAATGTTTTTCTGGAAAACAAGTTGATTTTTGATTTATTTTCTCATGTTTGGTTGGTGAGTAGAAAATATTTTCCGGAAAAGATTTTTAGTGTTTGATTTATGAATGAAAAATATTTTTGAGAAATATCTTTTATTTTTACTAGAGTAAAAAATAATTTTTGAAATTGAAAATATTTTTTAAAAAGAAACTTAAATTTTTTTTGGGGGTGGGGGTGTCGAGGGTAGGGGTGAAAAAATGAAATTTTGAAATTGAAAATACTTTTTAAAAACAAACTTAATTATTTATTTTTGGGGGGAGGGGGGGCTGGTTGGGGTGGGTGCGTGGGGGCTGGATAGGAGGTGGGTGGGGGTCAAGGGTAGGGTGAAAAAATGAATTTTTGAAGTTGAAAATATTTTTTAAAAAACAAACTTAAAGATTTTTTTGGGGGGTGGGTGGGGAGGTCGAGGGTAGGGTGAAAATATAAATTTTTGAAGTTGAAAATATTTTTTAAAAACAAACTTATATTATTTTTTTTGGGGGTAGGGGTGGCGAGTAGGGGGTGGGTGGGTGGGTTGGGGGCGAGTATAGGGGTAAAAAAATAAAATTTTGAAGTAAAAAATATTTTTTAAAAACAAACTCAATTTATTTTTATTTTTTTTTTGGGGGGGGGGGGGGGGGGCGGGGCCGGGGAGGAGGGTAGGTGATCGAGGATCAGGATGAAAAAATAAAAATTTGAAGTTGAAAATATTTTTTAAAAACAAATTTAATTTTTTTTCTTTTTGAAGGGGGTTGGGGGGGTTGATAGGGGGCTGATTGGGGTTAGTAGGTGGAGGGTAAAAAAATTGAAATTAGAAATATCTTTTAAAAATAATTTTTAATATTTTTTTTGGGAGGGGGTGGGTAGGGGTGAGGGTGGGGTAAAAAAATTTTGAATTTAAAAACAAGCTTTAAAATTATTATTTTTTTTGGAGGGGGGATGGTTGGGGGTTGGTTTGAGGGTAGTGACAAAATAAATTGATTTTTCAACAAAAAATTAATTGTAATTTGAAGTTGGAAGAGAGTTTTGAAAAATGTTTTCCTTAAATTTGAGGAAAATGAGTTGATTTAAAAAACATTTAACACAACCAAACATGAGAAAATTGGAAAACATTTTCCAAAAAATGTTTTCTTCATACCAAACACACCCTAAATCTAGATTAAGTCGTGTGATTTGTTTCATTTGGATAGGTTCATTGTTATTTAGTGGAGGATAAATAGTGAAGTCCACCTGCAAAGAGTAATTATAACTAAACTTAAGACACTAGAATTGAGCTTTATTAATAAGATCGACAAAAGGTTTAATCCACTTTATCAATATCACTTGTCATGATCTGTATAATGCTATTTCAATTAGAACTTACCTATATATTTTTAAACTAGTTGCTAATCAGTAGTGTACAGTGCTAGAAATATTAGTTATGAATGAACCATCAACTCAATATCCTTCCACAAGATGATAGCTGCATGTAAAGAGTAGATGCTCAATGTTTTCTTCTTATGAAATTCTACAACATGAGCACTTGTTTGGTTTAGCAATCCTAGCATCAAAAGGTATTTTGTCCTTCAATGCTCTCCATACTATAAATTATTGTAGTATGCTCATCTGTTGAAGGATATACAATCTTTGAAGCAACTCACTAAACCATCAACAGAAACAGGTCAATTGACATACATAAATCTACATACCAACAAATAGCAACACAATATAAATGTCAAATTAACATTTCCATTGTCCACTACATCCCTACAAGTTTTACTCCATCAAACATGACTGAGAAGCTGAAATTGTTCCTAAATCAAAATACAAGACTACTAATATCAAACCAGATAACAGAGAAAACATGCTAACACCAAACTGTCATTTAAGTCAAAGAGACAACAAAGTTAAAAGCATATGAGCATTTCACTCCTTGGTGGTTTTGTTTATGAGTGATTTGTGAATGTGAGGGATGACACCACCACCAGCAATGGTCCCTTTAATAAGGGTGTCAAGTTCCTCATCTCCACGAATGGCCAGCTGCAAATGCCTCGGTGTGATCCTCTTCACCTTCAGATCCTTGCTAGCATTACCAGCCAATTCAAGAACTTCTGCTGTTAGGTATTCCAGAATCGCAGCAGAGTAAACAGCTGCTGTAGCTCCAACTCTTCCATGGGCTGCAGTTCTGGACTTGAGTTGACGGTGAATTCTACCCACTGGAAACTATAATCCCCAAAACATGTCCAAAAAAAACAAAATCATATCAAGCATTATTCAACATTCTTTGGGGGAAATACTATACTAATAATATCACCAATAATCATTAAGGGCTTCTTTTCATTGTGCTAAATGCAATGACAACAAAAATGTCCTAGTAAGAAATTCAGGATGACATACAACCATAACCTTAGCCGAAAGACGTCAGTAGAGCAAGAGAGCCACATTTAGTATTATCACTTGGGGAAAATACATATTTTGCACCTAAAATTGTCCAGTAAGTCACTTTACACACTCAACTTTGTGTGCATCCCCTTACCCCATATTGTTGCCCAAAGTGTCCCCATTACCTCCCTAAGAGGTGAGGATGCAGGAGCAGAAGGGGGGGTTCCACTTTCCTAAGGGGGCACGAGAAATGGGGAAAAAATAACTTCAAAATGTACTAAATTATACAAGTGTTATCTTTTAACTGGATGATACATAACTAATAAAACTTAAATCTTTTTTATGGGCTTTTTTTCCTTTGATTTTTTTCTGTTTCTTATTTTATTCTTTTTTTATAACCAAGAAATCCATTTGTGACCCGCAGCCCTTTGGACCAATCACAACCTTCTAAACTCAGTGGATAATGGGCCCGCCCCTCTACCCTTCTCCACTTAAAGACCAGGCTTCACTTTGCATGGTGTGAGACTTGAACATGCGACCTAAGTCACAAATCCTCCACCTTTTGCCACTCGAGCTAAGGCTTTGGGGGATTTTATTTTATTCTTCTCCTCAACTCTCCCTTTTTGGACACCATAGTTGATTCCACCATGTCACCACCTACACTTCCCTCGTTTCCAACTCCAACACAGTACTTCCATTCCACCAGAACCTACAACCATTTCACATCTGTCATGACCACACCACATGCCACCACTGCCTCAAATAATACAACAAAACCCAACAGCCACTAAGCATTCTCAGGGCTTGCTTTCACTCTCAGATCTGGAAGCCAAATAGAAAGAACAGCAAAATGGAGTTGTCTGGGCGAGTTTGGGGAGAGTATCAAAATCTAAACATGGGTAATGTAGGAACATGAATAACAAATCAACCGACAACCATAGTCAATGAAGAAGAAACCCAAGACTTCCTGGAATCTGGATGGGCGTACCGAGCTATTCTTGGGGTTGAATAGTTTGTTTGTGGATCAAAACCTATGGTGGTAAATGAAGGTTAATCATAAGAATAATTTGCAGCCGTTTGTACCAAATAAAAAGTTGAACTGATGAGTGAAGGATCCAGATTTAATTGATTATGTGGTTGAATTGGAATTAACAGGAACTAATCAGACTGTATATGAGATTATTTAGGAATTTTAAAGGTGAAGTCAGAAAAGCAATGTGGTTTGGTGGTTTAAATTTCCATTATTTCTAGTGAACATAAGCGAGAAAATGCAAAAACATTCATAGAACTGATAAGGATTTTCTGAGGTGGAAGTTGGCGTGGAGCATGCACTTCACAGATGAGCTTAAAACTGGTTCAAGGACAAACAAGAGGTATCAGTTCCAAGTTAAACAAGAACAATGACATAAGAGGTTTCCCTCAAAGTTTAGGTGTTACAATGCAAGTGACTTTCCTTAACAACTTTACAACATACCCAATGTAATCACATAAGTGGAGTTCAGGTACCCCTACCTATAGAGGGGAAAATATGTATTTTTCCCTATCATTTATAAAAATTAATATCACATGACTGAGATAACATTCTATTTGCAGCTACATAGATATCACTATGCTATTGTAGTATGTTTGTTATACAATTTGCACATTCATAGATGAGATTCATGCAAAAACTGAAGAGTTTTTGCTCAGATTTTGCTATATATCAACAATCTAATTTACACCTTCAACAACATACTCAAGATATCCCCATAAATGGGACCTGGAGAGGGTAGAGCGTACACATACCTTACCCCTACCTTATGGATATAGGGAGGATGTTTTTGAAAGACTCTAGACTTAAGCAGCACATAACATGACAGCTTGAAAAAGACAATACAGAGCTAGAACAATATGTAGCAAATAAGACAGCAAATAATAGAGAAGTTGTAACAAACTGTACAAAACATAAAAATGTGAAAACAAGTGCAAGAAACGTGTAGTAGAAGTAATAAAAGAACTAAAATCTACATGAATAATGCTAATACTATACCAGCCCACCACGCCTCTGTGTTGGGGGAGCAAGACAACCCTTAACTACATTCTACCTTAATTCTCTAACTCCACATACTCTTATCTAAGGTCATGTCATGTCCCAAGTAACTGAAGTGTATCATGTACTATCTAATCAACTCTCCACAATACTTTTGTAATGTACCTACCTTTACCCCTCATTAAACAAACCTATGTTAGCCTCCCACACCTCCATAACGAGAGGTGTACACATCTTCTATTCACATATCCAAATCATCTCAATCTCACCTACCTCATCTTGTTCACCGCAAAGGTTAGTCTTATCTTGTCCCAAATATCTTCATTCATATTCTTATCTCTCTTGGTATGCCCAAACATACACCTCAATATCATCATCTCCACAACATTTAGGTGTGTTATTTAGCCCTACGTAATAATTGAGACACAAGCAAATTACATCACAAAGGACAAGTAGGAAGACTGGAACTTCACAGATAACATCAATTGTATTTATCTTTGTCAAACTTGTCCTAGTATATGTGTACACAAATAAAAACCGCTAATAGACTTTGACTAGGTAAATTATATCCTCAAAGTTACCTTAGAAACAAAAGCAACACATCCACAAACACGATGAGATAGAACAAGCAACCACAATATCAAAAAGGAAAGCAATTTTCAACCAGCTTTAACTTAAATTTAGCAACTTCCCTGAAACCCAACAACAGAAAACTGTAGCCAATCTAAATCTTTACGACATTGGCTTGATGCCTTTCTCTGGGAAGTGGAAAAATCAAATTACCTGAAGACCTGCTCGAGATGACCTAGAAACTGGCCTTTTCTTGTCTTTCTCCTTGTTAGCTGCTGCTGCTGCAGCTGCTGTTGTCTTTCCTGCTAGCAATCCTTTACCACCTTTCCCCGCCATCTTGTAAAAACCAAAAAAACAAATGGTCAGTATTTGTGTGGTCTTTTTTCTTCAATCTTAAAGAGGATAAACCCAGAATTTGCGTCAACGATAAACCCAAGATGAAGTAAAGAATAAAGATCTGATTTTTCCCCGTAAAATCAAATAATTAAACTCAGATCTTCCATATACCACTAATTCTAACAAAACCCAACAAACAACTACTAAAATCCAAACACCGAAAAAGGGTTTTATGAACAAATCAAAAGAAGACACCCCCAGAAGAAAAAAAAAACGGAAACCCCACAACGAACAACGAAATCAAGAAGATACCCAAAGAAAAAATTAGGGGTTTTACCCAAATCTCATTCACCACCAAGTAAACTAGTAATTAAAGAGAACCCCACAACGAACAAGGAAAACAAGAAGTTACCCAAAGAAAAAATTAGGGTTTTTTTACCAAATCTCATTCACCAACAAACAATCAAACTAGTAATTAAAGAGAGGAGAAGAAAGAGAACATACCTTAGAACTTTTGGGCTAAAGCAGAGAGGAGAGAGCAAAGGTTTTTTTTTTTTTTGAGAAGAAGATAATAAAGAGAGAAGAGTCGTCAGATCTGTAATATTAAGTGCCACATTTTATTGTAATTTTGGGTTTTGTTTTGAATGGTAAGTCTATTTGCCGCCTACAATTTCCTTTTGGGTGGGAATTTCTGAAATTTTTGGACTTTTTGGGTTTCAAAATTTTCGTTGCCCTCCTCTTTTATTTGGGGCCTGGCCCAACCCAAACCTTCTATAAATAAAAAAAAGAAAAGGCCCAAAATAATCCCTCATCTTTGACTTAAGACTTAAAGTCATCCTTGAGTTTTCACATGGAGTATTAATAGTCCCTCATTTTTGCCTATTTTTTAACATTGATTTTATTCATAATTTATGTATGGAATATTTAATCGTCATTTTATATATTTAGTAGAAATAATAACTACATATGAGAGATTGTGAGAAGAAAAACACATTGTTTTGTTTAGTAGAAATCATATTGCAGGTAAAGTCGAGAGGTTCATTACGACGATTTCACGTGCAATAACACAAATTTTTCTTCTCTTGCAATTTCATATGTTAAAATATTCTTAGTTTAACTGTAGTAATATTTATAATGAATAGAACAAGGTGTTCCCTTCTAACCTTCTCTCACATAGAGTTATTATTTCTACTAAATATATAAAAAGACGATGGGACATTCCTTACATAAAATTATGAACAAAATTAATGTTAAAAAATAGGCAAAAGTTTAAGGGAGGACCAAAAATGTCAATATTGCAAACATGAGGTACTATTAGTGCACCATTTGAAAACTCAAGGATAACTTTGAGTCTTAACCAAAAGATGAGAGACTAATTTGGGCCTTCTCTCAATAAAAAAATCTCAAATTATGTATCTAATTTATATAAATCGCAATAATTTGTATAAATTGGATGTATGTGTCTATAAAATTGCATTTGTATATGTATATGTATATGTTATTTGTGCTAGGCTAGAGTGGCGAGCAAGACTAAGAGAGAGGCTATCGAGAGAGGACAGAGAGTGGAGAGAGGTGAATTGTATATGTATATCGGTTAAATAATTGTATATATGTAACTACTACGTATACGTATCAATGATTGTGTTTGTATATCTGCATAAAATTTGAATTTGTATACAATTGAATCGAGTTAAAACATTTGTATTTGTATATCAAATTTCTCTCTCGCTTTGTACAAACACAAATTGTACATTGTATTTGTATAAAGCGAGAGAGAGAAAGACAAAAGATAACTGGGCAAAGAAAGATTTATATTAGTATTATTATAAGCGTATGGGACGGAGAGATATGTATTTGTATTTGTATATACAGTCTCTCTCGCTTTATACATACACAAACACATTTGTGTTTGTATAAAAGTGAGAAAGGGAAGGGAGAGAATTGAGAGTGGCGAGTGAGATTCAGATAAGAGAGGCGAGAATGGCAAAGTATTTGCTACGAATTATAATTAAATGAAACTGTAGCTATATCATTTATTTTGAATTAATAGTTTGCCATAATGCACAATTTTCCCAAAAAGAAAAACTACAAAATTAGACATATTGTACTGTCATATTTATTATTATTATCATCCATTCTTTCAAATATTATGTATTTTACCATTAATTAAAATTTTTTTATATCATATATTGAGAAAACTACACTTAGATACATATATTTTTGCTACTAGATACACCAAAATAGGCAGAGAGGCGAGCGAGATGGGGAGGGAGAAAGCGAGATTCTAGTGTGATTCGCATATATCTGGGATACTAGATACATATAAGAGTGGTGAGTGAGATGGGAGAGAGGCGATCGAGATTTGTATTAATCTCAGATACATGCAAATCGACTTGAATATAATGTATGAAAAAAAATTACACCTAATTTTGATCCCATGTATTTGGGGATACATGTGGTAAAAATCAGGTGTTATTTGTTCTAGATACACTATATCCAGGTGGACTCACATGTATCTGGGATACATAGACAACTCTTGCTTACCACTCTCCACTCTCGTATTTGGTATTCTAGATACATGTATCTAGTATAATTCACATGTATCTGGGATATATAGACAAATATCGCTCACTTCTCTCCCTATTTTAGTGTATCTGATAGCAAAAAACATATATTTAGGTGTATTTTGCTTGAAATTTGATATGAATTACTTAATTAGTGAGATAAAATGTAATTATTTTAAACTATGAGGAGAATTAGTAAGTATAGTAGAACTATCTGTGTGATAATTAGGTAGTTCATCGGACTCATAATTATCAAATGTAGTACTTAATATTTTTCATTTACTAAATATAGCTAGAGTTTTGTTTCAAATCATATGCAAAATAAGGCTACCTATCTCACTCACGATTTCATATATATATATATATATAAATCATTGCCTTAGTTTTTAACTTCTGGCCATAAACTGATTTCTTGGTGGCAAGAAACACGTAAAACAATTTAGAAAACAAAGGAAAAGGTTGAATGATGATATCGATTGGTTAACAATAGCACAATACCAATATCAAATAAACTTTCAACCATCTTAAATTATCTGTCACTTTTTTTTCTTACACGTTTCTTCATTAAATATTAATTATGAGGAGTTCTTATTATTTTGTTCATATTTATGTCTTAAATATTATCTCTCTTTAGTAATATTTGTTTTATTTATGTGTTATCGCAATTCGCACCCTATTAAGGTGTTTTTAATCTTCATAAATAATTATTATCAAGTGTAAAATGAAAAAGAATTATTCATTTTGTCTTGAACTTCTACAATCACAAATACTTCCTACATTTACTTTTATTTGTGTTCAGTTCAAAATTTGCACGTTCTTTAAAAAATTATGATTGATATGAATATTTTATCACAATAATCATATTAATTAATGTTTAATAGTATTTCTTGCAAAATAATTCGGTAAATAAGTAATTTATTAATAATATTAAGGATAAAACGTGAAGATCAACAAAAATATTTTTCTCTTGATATCCCAAAAGTAATAAGTAATCTAGAGTTAAAATATATTTTTAATATGCGGACAAGTAAAAGTGAGCGAATGAAATAATTTAAGATAATTATTTTTTCTAAAAACAAAATACGACATATTATTTGAGACGGAAGGAATATATCCAACATAGCACATTGCACCACATGGTCATATTTTTAGTTTACACTGCATAGCTAATATTTTTTTTCTGAAATAATATTTATACACCTGCTCCCATTCGGTGTCCGAAGCCCACATTGGAGTTTCGACTAAATTCGGATCGTGCTCTGCAAGGCCTATTCGAAGGCGGCGCTCCCAACAGGATTTTCTCCATACCCAGGGATCGAACTGTTAGGGTTTTGCCCTGATTTTCTTACCTTATTTGAAATTTATTTTTTCTTAAAAGAAAAGACAAAACAGTACCATAAATGTTTTTACTTTTCATGAAAGGAAAATATATTTTTCTTCTATATTTGGTTTATTATTTCCTTAGAGGAAAACTTAGGAGATCTATAAATTGAAGACCCCTCTTCTCATATCAAAAACACAATAGAATCCACAATGTAGTCGTTTAAGAGTCTTGTTTATGGGGAGATTTATTCTCTCTAAAGTTTCAATGTTTTTCTTTATATTAGTTTTGATATAATAATATTTTGATTTTTAGTATAAGTTTTTGTTATCTGATTTATCAACTATATGATTTGCAAATTGTAAGCTTCCGCATGACGCCCTAATCACCCTTCATAACCCTTTAAGTGGTATCAGAGCACATGGTCCAACGATCCCATGGTCCGATGATCCTATGGTTCAACAAGATTGAAGAAAGGTTCAGATGGTTTCAAATCAATTTGTAATCAACATGATGATAATGAAGATTTTTGTGTTACTACATCTGGAGAAAAATTTCAAATATATTTTCAACAATATCTTGCTGCTCCATCCTTTAAAACAAAATAAATTTTCAACTCATACTTATTTTATAGCATGGGCTCCAACTTTCAATCCCTGCAAACTTTAATGCTCGGGCTCCACTTTTAACTCATGTATCTTTACTTTTAACGCATGAGTTCCACTTTTAACTCATGCATCTTACTTTTAACGCATGAGCTCCACTTTCAACCCTGTTCATCACTTTTAACATAGGGCTCCAATTTTTAACTTATATAAATTTTTAAATCATGGTAAGCAGCAGTGATACATGAAAAATTTGTGAAGAACAAGATTATCAAGCATATGAAGAAGGCGAATCAAGTTTTGTCAAGAAAATCCAGCCAAAAGAGGAGATTTGTTAGGATTTTGCCTGATTTTCTTACCTTATTTGAAATTTATTTTTTCTTAAAAAAAAGGACAAAACATTACCATAAATGTTTTTACTTTTCATGAAAGGAAAATATATTTTTCTTCTATATTTGGTTTATTATTTTCTTAGAGGAAAACTTAGGAGATCTATAAATTGAAGACCTCTCTTCTCATATCAAAAACACAATAGAATCCACAATGTAGTCGTTTAAGAGTCTTGTTTATGAGAAGATTTATTCTCTCTAAAGTTTCAATGTTTTTCTTTATATTAGTTTTGATATAATAATATTTTGATTTTTAGTATGAGTTTTTGTTAACTGATTTATCAACTATATGATTTGCAAATTGTAAGCTTCCGCATGACGCCCTAATCACCCTTCATAACCTAACATGATTTTCTCCATACCCAGGGATCGAACCCGAGACCAAGCAATATATTAATCTTTTATTCATACATATAATAAAAGATGTGTATACTCTCTTACAATTTTTCGATTTGGATTTATCTTCCTTGGTCGAGCTTTGTGCTCATAAGCGTTCATATTGTTAACTTGATGTTTCCTATGGTGTACTCACCAGATCGTGATCTGTGTATTTTTTTCTTTAAAATTTGATGTTATGCTAACGTGAATCGTTTTGAACGAATTATATATTAAAAATATTTATAAATTTGAGAGGATTTCATATTTTAAACTTGGGATTGTTTAGAGGTGAGTTTGAGTTGTCCGGATTGAATAGTTAGTGTATATTTCATGTATAGTTAAGCT